TACTGTCAATTACTCCAACTATTAATTAAATTAATCTCACACCTATATTAATTTCCATTTCTATTTCCAACCCATTTCCACTCCTGTCATATATATATATATCACAGAGCATATTGTGTCTGTTACTGCTAAATTAACAGGGCATATGTATTCTTCATTCCATTTTTAATATATTAAACATATTTCATTTAATTAGTTAGTTCACATAATCAAACATAACATGCCAGTTCTAGTGATTGTAGGCAATCTATAGAAAACAGAAAATATAAAAAGAATGAAAAAGGAAGAAGTGTAAAACAAAACAAATAAAATAGTTTGCCATCTGTCACAGGACCCGGGCCGGGCGTCCTGCCTTTCGTGGGTGCCTTCTTCTCTAAAACCTCATTTCATTCATTTTCCATTTCCTCTCTATTTATTTACAGATACAAACAACCATGGAATATGAACCCCAATCCAGAACATAAAGCAACATTCATAAGAATAAATCAACCAACACCTAAGCATGTTATCTAACCATGAACCCAATCATACAAACCCTAACTTGTTTTCCAACCCAAATGCTATAAAAAATATACTAGATAATCAAAGGAAGTCAAACCCTTACCAATTTATCTTAGATGCAAGCTCTTGGTTTGATTTGTAGCAACTTCTTCCCTCTTACCAACTCTACTTCTCTCCATTTCCTCTTCCACTCTCTACTCCCCACTCTTACTAACTTTTATTTATTTTATAAAACTAAAACTAAACTTGCTATTCTTACTAACTATATTATATATATTAAAATTACTAACTTAATTCATTCAATTAATTATCAAATAAAACCAAATAACATAACATATATAATCTCTACACACCATAAACCAATACTATCGTATAGAAATAATTATTTCTAATAAACCGAATAAACCCCATTAATCACTTATCGGACCGAATAATATTCCACCGACTAAATAATTTTAATTTATCAAAATAAATATTAACCGGTAGTTTTGAAATAAAAAAATATAAATACTATTTAATAAATCGGGGTGATACACTTCTCGTGCCAAAATAAATACACATTCTCAAACTAGGGCTTAAAGTTTGCAGAAATCAAAATAATAATGATGTCGGGGACCACAGATTCAAACCAGAAATAAACTGGTGTGAAACAGTCAACCGAGATACCACCTGATGAGAAATAAACTCAAAAGGGGATCATATTCCACTCAGATAAAGAGCTAAATAGGAAGGCTAAAGCAAAAATCTTTCACGAGGGATAACTCAGCAGGGGAAATTGAAAGAATATACACTTTAAGCTTAAAGTTGAAAAACTGTTGGAGAGAGGGTGGCACAAATTTGTAAATAGGGTAATATGCCAATAAAAATTAATAAATGCAAATAAGCAATGAATTTTAATTCAGCTATGCATGATGTATGTATGGATGTTATTATGTATATGCTGACGAAACTATCACACCATACTGGGGATAAACAGACAAAACCAACTTGGGTAAAGTTAATACTCGTCTAAATCACATCCAGAATGAAAATTCCTAAAAGACAGTAAGTACCGACTGAGGAAATAAATTCCTATCCCATGGCTTAAATTCACTGGGAAGAAACATATCCCGAAAGTAATCAAATCACACAATAGAATCAATGCAAATACATGGATCTAACATCCTCCTTTGTGCTTCACCGAGGAACATCACACAGACTTCAATGGGGAAAACAAATGTTTCAACATCTAGATTTTCACTGGAGATTATAATACTGACTTTGTTAGGGCAGATGAAAACTACATCATTGAGATATTGACTTGGGATTCTGTGCTAACTTCATTAGGGAGTACAACACCACATCATTGAGGGGCCCAAAAATAAATTCTCCAATACTAAGAGTGATGATTACACAATCTTCCCTGGGGATAAATTATGAAAACACCTAGGGATAACAAATTCCAGCCAGAAACAAAATCTCAACTTCACTTGGGGATCTAAGAAATTAAATAATACAACAATAAATCAAAATTATGGGGATTTTAAATCAAACCTAGCACTCGACAGGAGAAAACCCAAAAAAGTTGACAAATGTTTCAACACTTCTTATAAAAGATACTACTCTTGCCTAGTTGCATGGGAAAACAATAATAATGTCATTACTGCTAAGAAGAAAGGACTTTCGTCATATGAGAGAAAACCTTACTGGGGAATCTGAGATAGAGACCTCAAACCATGCAAACCCAGAATCAAAATGGACCAAGACTTGACTAGGGAAAACGGGATCACAAGCCCGATACCGCACCTTATGCCAATTGGTTTCATCTCCAACTATCTGAGAGAGCCTTCCTGGGGAAAATAAACTTCCAAAATTTCTGAGTTCGTCCATCCTTGGAATCACCATTTTTGTTTTTCTTCTGTCACAAAATCTAGAGTAAAAAGTAATTTGTAAATTCCTTTAAAAAACAATTTTGTTATTTAATCTTTTGGTTTTAAAATTAATATCAATAATAAATGGAGTCTTTGTAAGCAGAATAAAATAAGAATTGCAAATAATTGGATAAAAGCTCAAACTTTATTAATAGAATGGTAGTCTGTGAATGGCGAGACTCCATAGATGATTACATAGTTTGGAAAATGGTAATATATATTGGAAAAGATACATTTAAATACAATGACCACTATTATCTATAACAACTTTGAATTCCTGAGCAGCGACTTCTATTGAAGTATGGTGAGGATTCAAGAAAATTATTGCTTTAATGATCAAGTCTTGTCTGACGCAGTTACTTGCCAAGAAATCCCTAACTTTTGCCTAAGTTTCCTTTGCGGGTTTTCAACCTAGCGGGAAAGTTTATTCTGTTTATGTCTCTAATTTTTCCCTAGACCTCCCTTTTGGGTTTTCAGCCTATCGAGACGCTCCTTTTTGCCTAAGCCGTCCTTTTGGGTTTTCGGCTTAGCGAGTTGTTCTTTTATTTCTTTAGGCGAAGTATTTCTTGACTGCATCAGCATTCACGTGACACGGTAACTCCTCGCCATCCATAGTTTCAAGAATTAATGCACCACCAGAGAAGGCTTTCTTGACAATATGCGGGCCTTCAAATTGGGAGTCCACTTGCCCCTAGAATCAGCGCTAAAAGACATGATCTTCCTGAGCACGAGGTCGCTTTCTCTGAATTAACGAGGCTTAAACTTTTTATCAAAAGTTTTCTTCATTCTCTTTTGGTATAACTGGCCATGGAACAAGGCCGTCATTCTCTTTTCTTCAATCAAATTCAATTGGTCAAACATGTTTTGGACCCATTCAGCCTCTGAAAACTTGGTTTCTATTATCACGCGTAAGAGGGAATCTTAACCTCGATCGGGATCACTGCTTCCATACCATACACAAGGGAGAATGGGGTTTCCCCTGTTGAAGTACGGACGAATGTACGATACCCGTGCAAAGAAAAAGGGAGCATCTCATGCCAATCTTTACAAGTAACAACCATATTTTGGATGATCTTCTTGATATTCTTATTAGCAACTTCAACATCCCCATTCATCTTTGGCCTGTAAGGAGATGAATTGTGATGGACAATCTTGAATTCTTCACAAAGTTCTGTCATCATCTTGTTATTCAGATTCGAGTCGTTGCCGGTGATAATCCTGCTTGGCACACCATACCGACATATAAGATTGTTCTTGATGAAACACACTACCACTTGCTTAGTAACATTAGCATATGAAGTTGCTCCTAACCATTTAGTGAAGTAATCAATTGCTACCAAAAAGAAATGGTGTCCATTTAACTCCTTGGGTTCAATCATTCCAATCATATCAATACCCCACATAGAGAAAGGCCACGGGGAAGAAATAACATTGAGAAGTGTCAGAGGCACATGAATTTCGTCGGCATGAATCTGACACTTATGGCACTTCTTTGCAAATTTATAACAGTCAGATTCCATTGTCAGGCAATAGTAACCTGCCATAAGCATCTTCTTTGCCATCAAATGTCCATTGGTATGGGTACCAAAGGAACCTTCATGGATATCATGCATCAACATGTCTGCTTCGTGTCTATCCACGCATCTGAGCAAGTCCATATCATAATTTCTTTTGTATATCACATCTTCATTGAGGAAAAAGCTACCTGCAAACCTTCTCAATGTCTTTCTATCTTTGTTCGATGAACCAATCGGGTATTCCTGAGTCTGGAGAAAATGCTTGATATCATAATACCAAGGTTTTTCATCTGTTACTCCCTCTGTTGTAAACACGTGAGCCAGTATATCCAAATGTCACAATGTGATAAGAGGCACACCATTCCAAGTATTCACTTGATACATGGAAGCCAGAGTTGCCAATGCATCTGCCATCTGATTTTCATCTCTGGGAATATGATGGAACTCAACTTTATTAAAGAAGGGTAATAATCTTCTAGCATAATCTTTGTAGGGAATCAAGCCAGGGTGACGAGTATCCCATTCTCCTTTAATCTGATTTATTACCAAAGCTGAATCGCCATACACATCTAGAATTTTGATTTTGAGATTAATGGCCTCCTCGAGACCCATGATGCAAGCCTCATACTCTGCCATATTATTGGTACAATCAAAATTCAGCCTTGCAGTAAAAGGTATATGCGACCCGTGAGGAGTAATAATCACAACACCAATTCCTTTCCCATAAGCATTCACAGTTTCATCAAATACCATACCCCACCGGGATTCAGGATCAGTAAGTATAAATAGTAGTGTCTTACTTAAATAAACTAAGATTGTCTGTATAATTGTTCTGTTTGCACTATATAATTTGAATTTCCAACTTTTCCTTCTATATTTGATTCCCTCAAAATTCAATTTCATAAAAAAAACAATCATTATCATCTACATAGTATAATAAGCTATATACATCTACTATACAAAGAAAATAATAGCTACATCTAGCTATGCTAAAAATGTAGAGTCCCAAACCTTAATAATAAGTGTAACGAAGCTCAATATTCTTATTGGATTGTTCAAACATAAGTCTCCATTAATTATCGGAGCATGAAGAATTCAATTCTAATATGTAACGAATAAATTTACAACAACATGAAAAATAATTACAAGAATAAAAAGTAAGTATAAATAATGAAAATAAATTGCAAATCATGTTGAAACTTTCTATATTAATCATCGTCGAAGCTCCATATGTTGAAAAGTTTGACTTGGATTTGATTGGGATCAACTTCGACGGTGACGTCAACAACATAACTATAGAAAATGATTCAATATGTAGGGTTAATTAGCGATGAAGAATATCAAATAATCAGAGGTGTCTCTTGAATGATAAAACACATGTACGGTAACAACAACACGAGTATCTCAAGTTTCAACCTCAAGGAAGTTTGCTTATAGCACCTCCTAGGGTCATTCATCAGAAAATTTCACCTAATATATAGTTCATGGTGTATTATTCATAGGTTTAGATGATTGACATTAGAATAAATCAATAAACCTTAGAAAAAACTTCTGAGCATGACTTCGAATCTGCACAACAGTCTTTGTGCCAACATGTTCTGTGGTGAAAATAAAGGATCCAAAAACTCATACCATATTTTTTGATTCATTAATAAATTCAACCTTTTTGCAAGAACAATCTTTATATGATATACTTGTATAAGATATGTACATTCTAAACTATTAATACCTTCGATTTTTCGCCAAGCTCGACCATACAACTTTAAAGCCTCAAGGAACTTCTTATGTTATTCATCTGTCCACTTCTCTCTCTACTTTGTGATAGTATATGGTTTCCTTACCTAAAAAAAATGTACAAAAATTTGATTAAATTAAAACATATGTAACAAAAATAATCAAAGTTTATAAAATAAAAAATTGGTTAAACTCTGATTCATTCATAAATTCAACCTTTTTACAAGAACAATCTTTATATGATATACTTGTCTAAGATATGTAAATTCTAAACTATTAATACCTCCGATTTTTTGCCAAGCTCAGCCATACAACTTTAAAGGCTCAAGGAACTTCTTATGTTCTTCATCTGTCCACTGTGATAGTATATGGTTTCCTTACCTAAAAAAAATATACAAAAATTTGATTAAATTAAAACATATATAACATAAATAAATAAAGTCTATAAAATAAAATATTTCACAAACCTTCAAGGCATGGTCATATCCACATGAAAATTCAAGGAGCCATAACCTTAAGCCATGACAATTATATCAAAAAGTATCAAAATTCAAAGAGCCATAACAGTTAACAGCATGTGAAACCAAGACTTTACTCAAAAAGATTAATGTACCAAAAGTTTGGTCAGCAAAATGATGCAAAAAACTTGATGTTCTGTTCAACTTGAGCATAAAAAAATTAGCTTTACATGTACCCAGATAAAAAAAAGTATCAAGTTTAACTTGAAGCAGTGTTGGAAACCTGGACAGTAAGGTAGATCTTGAAAAACGAAATGTAAAAGAAGTATGGGAAACGTGTATTGAATGATTGGTGGTACCCACTTAAAGATAGATAGCGCGTTTAATTTTCAGATAAGACCAATAAAACAATGTTTTTGGAACAGTGAAGGAATGATTCCTTTCACATGAAGACAATATAGGAGAATGCCACTGGAAACAAATTCATAAGCAAGCATCTGTTGTTGTTGTTGTCGTCGTCTGCGATATGAACTTGTGCTCCACCCGAAAATATGAACTATATTAGGAACCTTCAGATTTCCACACAAGCATTTACATCTTCTGCAGCCTGTATCAAAATGATATTGATTCCCCATAACTTTAAAGGTTCAAATGGATACCGATTCGCCACAGTTTCAAGATCCTTCTTATAATTTGTGTTCGAACTGTCATACAAGTGACAAAAAATCTGTCAACTCCCAGACAAGTTTATGCTATTGCGTAGACATACAATGACATTTTTTAACTCATCGTAGATGTAAAATAGAAACAGGGAAGGGAATCTATATTGGCACAATCTTTATCAAACTTATCAGAGTATTTACATGATGAACTAAGAATGAGATCATCAAGTACCTGTTCAATTGCTTCCTCGGTGAATGGATGCCAGTAACGCATACCAATAAACACTTCGGCGGGGACATTCTTTGCAAAAAGATATTTCTTCAAATCTTCAGCCTGTGTAGGAGAGATCATTAGTAGAGAAAGCATAATAATATAATGAATATGCTCTGACCATAGTGCTAAAAAAACTTTTAAAAACATTAACCAAAAATATAAGTCAATATTATAATCTCAAAGAATTAGCGGAACTTCTAACATTTTGATTGAAATTATTGATAAGGATTACAGAAGAGGTGACAATATAAAATTGTATGACATGGTAAACTTCATGCATCAAGTACATATACAGACAACTGAATAACAAAGCCTAGAATAACTCATACTCAAACATGATTAGTTCATTTTCTATTGAAATTTGAAGTATTGTACTCAATTTGAGAGTGAAATATAAGTCATCATCAAAAGGAAAAAAGTTCACAGGAAGTGGCATGCTTGTGCACCAGTTATATATCAAAGTGGAGAACCTCCATCAACTTAAGCATATCCCTCTCTGCTCTTTGGAGCCCTTAGAACACATACAACCTGAGCCAATGGCTTTTGAAAAAACACTAAATATTCTTGGAAATCGTATAATATCCTATGAGATTTACATAAAACACAACTTATGAGTTACATCAAACAACAATAACAAAAATGATAGTGTTAGGCTAATGTAGAGTATGTAAGAGGTAGAGTATTACTCTGTATCAGAAACAACTTCTCAAAGTTTCTTGTTTTGCTTCCTTGCATACCTCTGGTTTCTCAAAAACTTTGGATCCATCTATAGTTATCAACAAAAACATTTCATATCTAGTTAAAATTGAAAACTAAGAATTAAAGATAAGAATGAATACCTCTTTGGTGGAAGTGTGGTGATGTCTTTTTGGCTTTTTGATACCATTATTGTGAGCCTTGTAAGATTGGTTGTGAGCGGTGTGATTCTTCGACTTAGCCATTTATGTAATTCAACAAACATAGAGTTAATCAATTGGGAATGGTTTAGAAAATTGAAAATTTGAGAAGTTGAATAAAAACGAACCCTAAATCGGCGATTGTTAGCTGGGAATTTTGACCAGGTTAATAAAGGAACCTTTACATTTAAAATTTCCACAAGATGGCTTGAAAAAAGCTATAGTCGAAGTATATTATTACTAGATCTGAGTCGAAGACAGTTTGAAAAGACAAGTGTTTTTGTTTTGTCAAAGACGCACGTTTTCGACGGCCACGTAAGAAAGTCGTTGTTGAAGGCTTGAGCGGGAATGTTTAAAATTCGAAAAATAGTTTCTTTGGATAAGAAGGACGCGTGGAAGCCTTAGAGTGTCGAAAGACATGCAAGAAGCGACGTGGCTTTTCCTTAGAATAGTACCGTTATGATTAGAACATTATAAATAGCTCCTTAGTGTTAAGGAAAGAGAGGATCATAATTCGTACAAAGTTACTCACAAAATACTCAAGTACCAAGTTACAGAGAAAGAGTTCGTTGAAAATGTACATATGACCTCACAATTTTATCTTTGAAATGAACTTATCAACATAATTTTCTTTCGAACCATTCTTTTACGTACTCCTGCAATTGTTCTTAATTTCTTCATGTTCTGCCGAATTGTTTCATTTTCCTGTAAAGCTTTATAAATCAAATTTCTTTTAAAAGGCTTTTTCCTTTACAATCAAGTCATTTAATTCCAGTCTTAAGTCTTTTTATTGTCAAGTATTTACATTCAAACCTTCTTTTTAATTAAGACGCTTCGTCTAAACCTTTACATTTGAATTTAATTTCAGAAGTCTTTTGTATTTAAAGCCTTTACACAAACACATGCACAAGTATTACGTCGTATTTAACATAAACCGTCAAGAAAGTATTACAATTAACGTTAAGACAATGTCCCAGGATCAATCTAGTCGATCCTGCGAGTAACCATACATATCAAATTTGTTTAGAAGACTAGCGGTTGTTTCGCCAAAAATCACTGTGAACAAATTGGCACGCCCGGTGGGACAGTGTCATAACGTTTTAAGAAAAAACCAGTTGTAATCATAACAGAGGGTTTAAAACACTATTTTCTGGTAAAATACGCAAAAGCGTTATATGAACCTTAGGAGTGGCAGAATTACTAGTGAATCTCAACCAATACCTAAGAAAAAACATACCAGAAGAATGGTTAACACAACTAATGATAAAGGAGGACAAAATCCTCCACAAGGATCAGGAACGGTCGGTACAAATTCGACAACTAGTTCCCAGGCCATTCCAACATCAATGGGATTAATGGCCGCAACTAATTTGAATCCACCTTACACAGAAACTGCTTCTGTGGCTAGTGTGACCAACGTGCCCCCCTTTGGGGGTACATCAGAGTCTCTTTCAAATACTCAAAATGGCCCTATTTTGACATATGTAGGAGGCCAAGTACCACCTTCGACACCTTCCAGGCCACCAGGATTCGAAAACTTTAGGCCTTGGACAGAACAATCATATCGAGGGCCCTCATCATCATTCATGAGTGGTTTACACAATGGCACTTTCGCATATACACAACCTAACGTAAATACTTTTTCGCCAATTCAAAATGTTGGTTCAATTGGTCGAAGCGCCCAAAACCAAGGTGTGATACGGTGGGAGAAGTGACTTGAAGGTTTGTGTTTGTGTTTGCAAAATGTCGCGGTTAGCAAAAGTCACCACCGACTTTTATTTTATCCAAAAGGAAAGGTAAAAAAGCACAAGAAAGACCTTTGAGATGTTTTCTTGAGTTCGAGGGGTAGATTATGAAAAGGGAAGGTGCTAGCACCCTTTTCATTCATGGTTTTCCATGGGCTCTTAGTTACTTGCTTAGATCACTTGCTTTGCTTTTGAAATTGTTTGAAATGGTGCTTTGTGTATGGTTTTGAAAAGTATTTGTAAAAGAGGCCTTTTGTTTATGCAACCTTTGTAATGATTCTCGTTCGTAAGAATGTATACAAAGGTGTTTGTCTTTTTGAAAATGTTTTCAATGTTTTGAAAGTTGTGTGTGTGTGCTTGTTTTGAAAATAGCAAGGATTTGTTTTGAATTGGAGCAAGTAACTTAGAACTATCTACTTACTCAAAAGTCTTTCTTGTACATTTTTATTCCTTTGATGTTGTTGACCTACCATTGATTTGGTAGGCAACCCTATCTTTGGATGTTAAACGGGACGGGCGTGGGTCATCGTATAACCATGATAGCAATGTTGCTAGGTATCTTGTCATTTTTTCTGAGGGACTAAGATCATTTGTTTTAGGCAACCTTGTCTAGCGTCATCGAGGGACTATGATCTTTTGTTTTGTTTTGTTTTACCAAGATAACTTGCATGCATACCATGGCCATTTTTAGGCAACAAAGTGGGTGAAACCCTAAGGAGTGCTTGTGTGCAATGTGTTGTCATTTTACATGCATTTTGTTTGTCTTGTATTAGGTCATGCTATTTGTTTGATTTTTGTCTTATCATACAAAACCCTAGTTTACTAACATGGTATATGAAAGCAATAAATTGCGTAAAGTAAATCTAAACTATTACAACAATTATTATGGGAGGGGGGATACAAGTTTTGAATGGGGGATATTGCTCAAAATAAAACCCTAAAATTATTACAACCCAATTGAATTATTGTACAATGAATAAATAAATATACAATATTTAAATATGCAAATAAAATGTATTTATGCAAAATGTTTTGTATTAATTTTATGTATGTAAAAATAAAATTATTTAAATCCTAAAAATAAGAAAAATAATATTATTATTTTTGAAAGGGGTGAAAAACCCTAGTTTTTGATTTAAAAGAAAATTAGGTTTTCTAATATTTATTTGTCCATTTTTTGTACTAGAAATAATAAATAATATTATGTACAAAATATTAAAATTAAAAAAAATATGAAAATAATTATTTTATGTGTGAAATAATAAAAATAAAAATGTATAGTATTTTTTATTATTTACAAGTTATTTTAAGAAAATGATTTCTATTTATTAAAATAAAACTATTTTATATGCAAAAAATAAGATAAAAAATAAAATAAAATAAAATGCAAAAAATTAAGAAAATATTTTTGGGTATTTTTTATCATTAGAAAAAATGAATGCAAGCACAAAAAATAAAAATATGCAAAAAAATACAAAAATATAAAATAATAAGTCTGGGGGGTGCAAAAGTAAACTGGGGGGTGCAAACAGTCAAAACAGAAGGCCTAAGGCGCGCCAGGCCCAGGACTTCATCCCTGTCCTCCAGTCTCTCTCAAACGCGCGCGTTTTTGCTTCAACCTGTATCTTACTCTAGCTTGCATAAAATCAAAAACTCATAACATAAAACATGTAGCATTTTTTATCACGATTCCAATGATATAAGATTTGAAACCTAACTCTAAGAAACCAGGGAGAATTTCAGTGGCCCTAATTCCTGACCTAATTTTTTCATGAACTTCAAGCTTCAAATTCTCACTACTTAGTTAATATAAATGATAACTACGCATATGTACAGCTTCACCATGTTAAGGACTACATCTTTGCTTCACAAACCAAAGCTTGAGGATTCCTAAATAGAGAGATAGAGTTTTGAAAAATACCTTGTTCAACTGAATTTGGATATGGAAACGTGGGGACTTTGAGTGAGGCCTGAAGATCGTGTGAGCTTTCTTGAAGTTCCCTCAAGCTTTTCCAATGCTCAGCTTGCCTTGAGGATGCTTGAAACTCCCTGTAGAAG